ACCAGGCTGTCCGCCAACTTAGGGGAGGCGGCGATCGCGGCGAGCGCGTCGGGTTACTCCACTTGGATGCTGACCTTCGCGTCGCCTGCCCGCCCCCGCACCCCCCGACGAACAGAGGGGGTGCGGAGGAGGGAGGGAGGGAGGGAGGGAGGTGAAGGACGAGGAGGAGGAAGAGGAGGAGGGAGGGAAGCAGGGAAAGAGGGGGGGAGGGAGGTAGGGAGGGAAGAGGGAGGGAGGGAGGGAGGGCGGCGGAGGAGCCTATCCCCCCTGTCGCGTTGCCCCTGATCCACCTTTTCCCCTGGAGTTTCTCCAGAGCCTACGCCGTGGCTGCCAAGGCCGGCGTCCAGAACCGCGCGCAGCCCAACAGCCGCACACGGGTGCGGCAACGGGCGGGCCTGGTTCACCGCCGCGGGCAGTCAGCCCGCCGAGCTGGCGTTGACCTGCGCCGGCCAACAACTTTTGGGGCAGGGGCGACGACGACGACGGCAAGGACGAAGCAAGCAGGGATGCTAGAGGACGCCCCGCGAAGGCCCCGAGGTGAGGAGACGGCCTGGAAGAGAAGGAGAAATAAACAACGGTATAAGCATAAACTGTTCGAGGGCCGCGCGGATCTCATACTATATATATATATATGTATATATACATATACATACATACATATATATATATGTTTATGTAAATGTATATATATATGCCAATGCTGTTTTTCCTTAGAAAAGTCAAAGGCGCCAGAGGACGAAGACGCAGAGGAGGCGGAGGCTACGGCCGCGAGGCGGTCGTCAAGGCCTCCGCCGCGAAGGCCTTCCGGGACGAGCTCTGAGGGCCCCAGCGGGGGCAAGCAGGGCGAGGAGTGCACCAGTTCGAGGCCGCAGGGGGCCCAGTTCTCTGACGATCCGAACTTCTTTTGGTCCGGCCGCTGAAGCTCTCCTCGACTCGGGCCTCGGGAAGAGTTTCTGAGCCCCAGCGGGCAAGCAAGCGAGGATGCACCAAGTTCGAGGCCGCAGGGGGGCCCAGTTTTCTCTGACGATCCGACTGCTTTTGGTCGAGCCGCTGAGCTCTTCCTCGACCTCGGGCCTCGGGGACGAGTTCTGAGGGCCCCAGCGGGGGCAAGCATGGCGAGGAGTGCACCAGTTCGAGGCCGCAGGGGGCCCAGTTCTCTGACGATCCGACTGCTTTTGGTCGAGCCGCTGAGCTCTTCCTCGACCTCGGGCCTCGGGGACGAGTTCTGAGGGCCTCAGCGGGGGCGAGCAGGGCGAGGAGTGCACCAGTTCGAGGCCGCAGGGGGCCCAGTTCTCTGACGATCCGACTGCTTTTGGTCGAGCCGCTGAGCTCTGCCTCGACCTCGGGCCTCGGGGACGAGTTCTGAGGGCCCCAGCGGGGGCAAGCAGGGCGAGGAGTGCACCAGTTCGAGGCTGCAGGGGGCCCAGTTCTCTGACGATCCGACTGCTTTTGGTCGAGCCGCTGAGCTCTTCCTCGACCTCGGGCCTCGGGGACGAGTTCTGAGGGCCCCAGCGGGGGCAAGC